CCGGTCTTCCCGGTCAACCAAGGACCCGGCCCGCCGAGACCGGGGAGTCTGGGTCCTCCGGAGGACCCGGCCTGTCGTTTTGGACACAGCCAATGACTCAAAATAGCACAACTCACTGCTCACCTGGGCAGAAACAAGTCGACAGACATTTAAAGCTTCTTTGGATCCTAAATGTTTGACCCAACCTGAAACAAAATAAGTGTAGCTTCGAGGCTTTTGAAAGCTTTCAACTGGCTCATTGTATAAACCGAGGTCTGCAGCACCAGATAGTTGATGTCAATCGCCTTGACACCGGGTAAATCCTCCAGATTATAAGACAAGTCTTTTTTATTAAGACAATATGGATCAGATCCTAAATGTACACATATTTGTTCACAAYATCTCATCTACGCCAGCCCATTTAGGACATTAGCGTACTTGCCGAGATCCATTTCACCGTGTTTTGAACCAGAGCAAATCACTTCCTGCCCCCATCTGAGTTTTGCGCGTCAACCATGTCAGGTGAATGCAACCCAGCAATATACATATATACATATCAAGAGGGAAAAAAACACATTCTTTACAATCTTTACTAATTTAAAGTATCAAGAAGCAGCATAAACGTTATATGTACTGGTCCACCATATAACTTAGGGTTTGTTAAACAAATATTAGAACAGAAACAGAACAATTWAAAAAATACACAAAAAAGTTTGATTTCAGATGTCAGAATGTTTCTAGTATTTAACCTTTGGAGCAATAATAGATCATTTTAACATTTACTGAAAATAAAAGAGGGGAAAAAAAGGTTACTAATTACCCAAATCTTGAAATGTGACCTGTGTTGAGTGTAAAAAGAAGTGAAGGTAAATAATGGTTTTCTATTCTGTTGAATTTTAACTACCAGGCATAACAGGGAAATGTTCCTTTTTTTCCCCCAGTTGATTTTTGACAGGACCATTAAAGCAGACAACTTCTGCACATCAAACCAGTGCCATAAATTCAGTTTCTATGTATCATTACCATTCACCGAATCTAATTTATGACTTTTGTTCAACCGAGCATGATGCTGGCAGAAACTTTCTGGCTGAATTTGGTTTGCAGGGGTGAGTCTGGGGAGTTCCCTCTGGTGAACTGGTGTTAATTAGCGCGACATTACTCAGGGAAAAGTTACTGGTTTGGAAATGAAGGGCGAGTCTTTGAAGTGTTGCTCTATATATTCGGTGAGCTTCGCTACCCAGGGGGGTGCAGCATCTGTGTGGTGACATTGCATGCATTCCCGTGTACAAAAAAAAGACACACTCGCGGATTTGGATGCTCGCGCACGTGTCTCGTGCACGCACCCACACCCCAGAATGACACACGGGCATACACACGCGCGCCAACAGCCAAGCTGTGCAGCTGACCTAAAACAGCTTCCTTCTCAAGCTCTCTCCTCTTTTGGGCAGTGGGGAGCTCACAGCTGCAAGAGGCCAGGCTTTGATGCTGCACCCCCCCCCCCCCCCC